TGAATCAGCATATCTTTGTTCTTTACCAAACCTCCCCCGCTCTTTTTCTCATTCGCTACATTCGCGACGTTTTCTATTTCACTCCGTTTTACAGACTGAACTTCTCGAATTCGAACAGGCTAAAAAAATATATTATAAACGGTTGATAACACCATTTTGAAAACATTTTTTCTTATATATTTATGACAAGATGGCTTTTCATAAATTTTTAGTCCGTAGTGTTTACGATGCAATGCATCTGGTGCAAAGAAAACAGCCAATTGGATGCTCCTCGCAAGAAGCATTTTACCGATATTATCATGAAAAACCCGTCAGAAACTGGGCTCATATCATGAATCATCATTATCATAGGACTTTTTCACAATTATACTACTGACGCTTACACCTTTTACTGCAATTGATTGTCGACACAAAACTGAAACAAATTGTATTTAGTGTGGGTTTATGGCAAAGTGTTCCAAAAGAAGTGAAGTGTATTTGTTTTCAAAGTACTTACTAACATCTTGAGGTGAGTGAAAGCTGACAAGTTGTTCCTCGAGTTGAAAACAAAACGTTAATTTTTGCCACCAGATGCGTCAAACATAACAGTTTTTCAGTTGTATATCTTGCGCATAACTCCGAACACTCCGTTATCATCTCAGTCTCGTACCTCGCATTAGACATTGATGTGGACGAAAAACTCGAAATTACTGTATTCAAAACAAAATTTGGTCATGTCTGATGCATGCACGCAGAACGACAAGGAAAGAAATGTATTGTATAATATAGATTGCGCTAGTGCATTACTGCAAGTTTTCTCTTGCGACTGAATTTTCTCTCAATTTTGTCTTCAATTTTACGCTTTTTCAATACTCTTCTAAGTAATGTTAAGACTTTGTCAGAAAGTGAGACTTTATATACACGACAGTAAGTGGGGCAAAACCAGATTCTGTATGGTTAAAATATGATCTCATCTAAACGCAAGATCGGCCTCCAGTCTCTTCAAGATTTCAAAACTTCTCTTGAAAATAAAGTCCTGTTGGACAGGGTACGAATTTTAATCAGACACTGATTCACTGTTGAAAAGTATCGGCGCTCTTACACGAAGTTCGAACGTTCTCGGTGACTGCAAAAACAATCCGTGTTTCCACAAATGGTGAGAGTCGTTGAAATGAAACTTCAAATCCTTAAAAAGGTAACACTTAAATAAATGGTCACTTCGTTTACAAGATGGCTAGGTAAAAAGAAATTTGACATCAATATCATTTTCAAGACAGACACCAGTTTCTTTCTTTGAAATTTTTAGATCTAAAAATTGTCGATGAATTTACTTCTGAAAACTATCAGAGATTATGATAAAATATTTAGTTTCAATAGATATTCCTCCGTGAAATTGAAGTCAGAATGTCAAACGAAGTCTAAGAAAGAAGGGAAAAAAGAAACGTGCAAAAAATGGAAATACGAAAGGGGAAACTGTTACGACCAGCTGCTGCAGAATCTAGAAATGCATTTAAACTATCGGATGTCTATTTTTCAGTTTTTATAACAATTTTTGGATTGGTAACGAAATTTTACGACGCATTCAGTGGTGTGACAACATGCTCTCTAGAGTATTTTCAGATAAACTTTTCAGGTAATATATCAATCCGGCACATTGAATATTCACAACTGGCAGGAAAATTATGCATGTAATATAACTTAACTGAGAACCAGCTGTTCGTAGATATTAACAGGAAGAGAGTTTTAATGTTCTGCACATGACGGGGAAGACGGAACAATGGGTTCATAATCTTTATTTTGCCTTAAGCTTAAATTTCGCCCAAAGTACTTGAACTTCAAAACAAATTTAGATGTCGGTAACTCTGTACCATGGACTGGTTTTTTATAGCAAATTATCGAACTGCCTTGAAATAGAAATCAAAACTGATGCCGCTTTTATTTATTTGAGACTCGATATCTGCTGGAGAGATCTGTCAATATTCTTAGTTCTAGCGTATTCCTACCGTCACTGAACGTACACTGTTATTCCTTCCAAACTGACTGAATTTTTCCCGAAGCTTGGCCTATCCAAAATATAGATTGTGTCGTCTTCATGGAAACAGCTGGTTCATTTCTAGAGTTTGTTTTAGGGTTAGAACAAACGAAACTGAAGATTATGTCTTCTCTTTTCTCCAATTCTTCAGGAAAATGAAGACTAGAGGGACTATGATCTTGATTATTGTGAGTATCGAGTTGGATCAGAAAATTTTTATAGGTTCAAGACATAACTCATAGAAAAACAGACGAAGAAAGTTTTCTTTTACTCAAAGAGGGTCATGACCCAACCCTTAGCAGCAGGCTTTATCCAAGGAATAACCCAGGCTCCCTCTCCACTTTCCATATATGGAGTTGCAGTGACTGAGGGTATCTTACGTTTCTATTACCAGCCAATCAGCTTACAAAAGGGTGTTTTTGTACTCTTAAATTGTTTCTCCTGCGAAGTTCGAGCAATATTAACATATATTACGTAAATTCTTCTTCTTCTTCTTCTTCTTCTTCTTCTTCAGTTGATTGGCACCATATGTGTTGACATGGTGTTCACACATGAGCCAGGACGAGGTCATCATGGCCATCATCGTCCCCTAGGAGGGAGAGGTAAGGAAATTCTTTCTCAGTTAAAGGGGATATGACATGCGCAGAGCTGAACCATCTCAGGAACATCATTGATTTTCGATTTCTTTATTATGTAATTCACAATGATAAATGGAGCTGCACAATTCTTAATTTTTTTCGCTGTGTATAGCTAAAAAATAAGGATTTAAGTCTGATCACTGATAATATTTGGCGTTGATCTAAATATGTTGCTGTTACATTTTGTCAATGATAAAGAAAATCTGTTTCCACGCATGACGAAAAGCACCATTAACTCTTCANGCGTTAGGACATAAAGGGTTAAATGGCGCCATAGAAAGTCATCAGTAGGGGATGTTGCGGTTACAGTTAGTCGTGGATGTATGGCAAGAAGATAAGCATTACGATTAATGCAGATTAGGATTGATGCGAAACATTAAAGCCAATTTCAATCGAGTGTCAACATAATCCGGAGCTGTGTTAGTATTGCTTTAATTCGTTTTGGTTCAGAAAACTCACGCCACTTTTTCAACCAATCAGATTCAAAACTAAAATCAATCGCTACGTGGCCACACGCGTTTTCCCGCGCTTTTTTACTTCGAGTTCTCATTGGTTCCTCGTGATATTTTCCTTGCTGTGATTGGCTGTTGTGATTGCTTTTATCTTGGTTTTACGACACTCAATCGCAAATAGCTCTTTAGGAAAATTTGTTAGGCGAGTGAGAGTCTGAATAAAGGCAGATAGTTTCTGAAGAAACTGTTTGGCGCTGCGTCGGTGGGGGTAACGAAATAATTTGAATATATCAACAAAGTTGAAATGGTAAATTGGCCACCGTTACGGTTATAAAAGCTGACGTTTCGAGCGTTAGCCCTTCGTCGGAGCGTCTGGTTTAGGTGCATTGTGTGATGAAAATTTCCAAGTTGCCAGCCCTCGGTCAATTAAGACAGAATTACCGAAATTTAAAGCTGTATGATATTTAAAAATTCACACCACACAGATGTAAACAAACCGCAGCAGAGAAGTTTCACATATTTTCTCAATGGCAAGTCAAGAATCTAGTATTTTTGGAAGTGAATTCATACCAATAATTACATCCCTTTTAACTCGATGGTTTAGATAAATATCTGAAGTGAAACGAAGCTAAACCGGACTTGATCTCGAGATTCTAAGGAAATGAACAATAAAATTGGAAGAAACAGTAAGACAGCAGTTTGTATTCAGATATTTCGTATGCGATCATTCAAGCAAGTGTAGTATTAGGTATTTCCGGTTCCGGTTCTGTTCAAGTGTCCCGTTGCACGTTGAGAGCCATGTGCTTTAGGGCCACTTGTTCTGGAATGACTCCATCTTGATATTAAAGCCAAGTTATATTAAAGTAAGTGTTGTCAACATTTGATTGAAAGTACCAAATTAGAAGCTGCCTAAGAAAGGAAATTATTTCTGAAGCAATTAAGAAATCATTTTTCAAGTGATTGAGCAGATAAAGTGGTTTCTGCCATGAAAGGAGTGATGCGTGATAACTTTGCGGGAGTTTAATCATAAGCATTAGCATCAGCATTAGTGTATAAGCCAGAAACACGATAGAAGAAATGTTCAAATATTCAAGTGAAATATTCAAGTGATCGAGAAAATAAAGTGGCGTCTGCTATGGAAGTGATGCGGGATGACTTTGCGGGAGTCTAATCATAAACATTAGCATCAGCATGAGTGTCTCAGCCAGAAACACGATAGAAGAAATGAATTAGAAATTAGTATTCAAATGATCGAGAAAATAAAGTGGCGTCTGCTATGGAAGTGATGCGTGATACTCTTTGCTGGAGTTTTATCATAAGCATTAGCATCAGCATTAGTGTATTAGCCAGAAACACGATGGAAGAAATGAATTAGAAATTAGCTTTCAAGTGGTCGAGAAAATAAAGTGGCGTCTACTATGGAAGTGATGCGTGATGACTTTGCGGGAGTCCAATCATAAGCATTAGCATCAGCATCAGTAGGGACTTTAAGCAGTCAGGACGGCAACG